TTTCAGATTTTCTGCATAGACAGCCACCTTATTGTTGATTGTCTTGTAAAATTCTTATCGCCTTGTTTCCTGGTGATGGGAAAGACATGACCACTGACCTTTAGAAAAAAGTTTCATGATTAATATTAAAACATGAAGTACTTAACTTTATGAGGCTTCTTGTGTTTTACAATCAAATAATCCCATTGTCAGGTTTAACTATTTCAAGTTCCTCTGATGTGGGGCACTCTAACCCTTTATCCTCAAAATTTCATTCTATTACTTAATTAGCTCTGTTTAATTCTTATATCACCCCATTTAGTTGATATGACTTCTATTTTATTTCTAAGAAGGAAAAAAATTACCTATTTGTGTTATGACAAAATTTTTCTGATTGTCCTCTTACGTATAGCATCCATTTACCCTCAGTGATCCAGAGCAAATTAAATGACATAAAGACAGAAAATATGGGAACTGCATGCTTCGCAAAACAAATGTGGCAACAAGTGTACCTTCTCTCCACACATATCTGGAGTGAGCTTTTTTTTTTATTGGTACCAGGGATTGAACTTGGAACCTTGCACTTGCGAGGCAGGCTGTGGAACCACTGAGCTAAATCCCCAGCCCCAGAGTGAGCTTTTAAAAGACTTTTTTTTTCAATGAACTGGGGGTAAGTTGGAGATATTTTGTCCTTTTAACACCAAGTACTGTATATTTTCTAAGAGCAAGGACATTCCTTTACATAACCAGTTATCAAGATCAGGAAATTTAACACTGATATAATACTAATATATAACCCTCAGACCATACTCAAATTTTACCTATCATTCTAATAATAACTAATTATTATTGTTCAAAGTTCATTTTATCTAGTCTAAATTTCAGTGGCAGGTTATGGTTGTATTTAGTTGTTGTGTCTATTTAATCGCCTTTGGAATATTTCCTGAGTTTTTTATTTGTTTGTTTCTTAATCTTAATATTTTTGAAAAGTAGAGGCTGATTATCTTACACAATATCCCTAAATTTGGTTTGTCTGGTTTTCCTTCATAATTAGATTTGTATGACTTATTTTTGTTAAGAATACTACAGAGATGACATTGTAACCTCAGTGCATCATATCAGAAGGCACAAGGATTCAGTTTGTCCCAATATTGGTGATGTTAATGTGGTTATCTTCTAGGCCTTCCCACTGTAAAGTTATTTTGTCTTTAAAGTTATTAAGTAATTTGTGGTGAGGTGACGGAACCAGCCGTCGCTAGTTGAACAGAACCTGAGCAGAGGGGTGAGGATTAAGAAAAACAACACAAACTCGGGAGAAAAGAAAAGGAGAGGAGAGGGAGAGCCTTCTTCTTCCCACTTTATTGAGCCTCTTATATATCCTCCTTCATTACCCACAGCCTCCCTCCCTTCCTCCCCTCATGATCTCGTGACTAATTATTTTTACAGCGAAAAGGTCAAATATATCTTTACAATTCCGGGAATGTTACTTTCTTGTCCAGCAAACATTCAAATCCTCTCTACATTCCTTGTTTTCTTTACAAGTCAACATCCTTGTTTTTGTACCAGTTTCATATCCTGGCTCATTATGTTCTTATCTGGCTCAAGAATCTCAAAAAGCTCAGGGTTGTATCAACCCTTCGCTCTCCACAGTGAGGTATTTTGACACCATGTAAATAACTCATCCAAATTTACCTATAACAACTAAAATACCCACTACAACTTTTTACCTATGATAACCTACTGCCTACAATAAGCTGTTACTGTGACTATTTTCTAGTTAACACCATAATTCTAGATTCATTTTTTGGCATCCTACTGTGGAAAAGAGCTTTCCATTCTTATTTATATCATAATGGATGCAGACATTTTAATTTTATTCTGTGAAATATAATCTGTTATCATTTTTAATTTTGATATTCAAAACAACTTTTTCATGTTTGATGATGGAAAATTCATCAAGGGTGTGATGTTTTGATATATTCCTATCATTTTTTGCATACTTCCTACATTTTAGTATGACAAGGTACTTTAAGTTAATCTTGCCTTTTCCCTGTCCCAGTTCTGTTATCAGTCACTTTTCCAAAGAGTTGTAATTTCTTCTGGTTGAGAATGTTGTTTAGAAGCCAAGACCTGGGGTTTAGTTGTGTTCATTGCTACTGAGGTTTCATAGCTTTTCGGTCCTCTAAATATGTGCACATGGAATAAAATTTCTGCTCACTTGTTGGAACATTCAGTGATTTATTTGTGGCATAAAAGAAAAAATATTCTTCCTTTAATTTGTGAAAACTGGGAAGGACTTTCACAATTTAAAAAATCATGTATTTTAGAATTTTAGGGATATCTTTTCTCTGTAGTGTGTTAAGTATTCCTTTTCTTGTTTTGAAACAGGGTTTTGCTATGTAGTTCAGGCTGGTCTTGAACTCCCTATGTAGCCCAAGCTGGCCTTGGATTCATGGTGATCCTCTTGCCCAAGCCTCCTGAGTACTGGTATTACAGACCTGCACCACCATGCCCTGCTAGTCTATTAAGCATTCTATACTATAATTATTTACAAACAAAACTTGACATAGTTAAGAATTGCTGGAAGAGGAGGAATAGAAAAGTTTGCTTTTATGAGTTCCTTGCAAGTATTGTAGAGGAAATGTGCTTCACTTTCTGTTGACTGTTTGAAAGTTTGGTATAATTGGATCTTTGGGACATTATCCCTGAAGGATCTGAAGTTTTAAACCTCTGTATATTATAGCTGCTGAACTTTAAATTGTTCAGGGACAACAGGTATTCCCCCAATACAACAAATGGCTTAAATTTACATAGCATTTCAGTTGCTATCCTTTGATATTTTTAGTTATGGTGGCATCAGTTGATAATTTTGAAAGAAATGAATTTTGAAGGAAATGAATTGTTCTATTGATTTTTACATAATAGCATTTTACTTTTTAGAAACCTGGGTGCATTCATTCTTGCATACAGCCAACTTTATAAAGTATGTTGTAAAATAATTTTTATTTGGTGGTGACAGGGAAATTAGAATTCAGGCAGGATTAATTTTTCTTGGCTACTATTTTTAAACAATAGAAAATATCAATTCCTAGACAACTGGCCTGATTTTTTTTTTTTCAGTACCAGGGATTGAACTCGGGTCCCTGCGCTTGCAAGGCAGGCAGCAGAACCATTGGGCTAAATCTCTGGTCCCTGATTTTTTATTCTAAAAATAGCATTTGCTAGTCTTAATAGTAGCACAAAAATTAACTTTCTTTAAAGTAATCTTTTATAATAATTTATCATTATTTTGGTATGGAATCTATTAAATATAAAATCTTGTAGATAAGTCTATAAGAAATAATCTGATAATTAGTAAGTGTAGAAGAATCAATTATTGTGGTGGGAGAAAAATGGAACTCTTAAGAAGAAAAGCAAAAGCTCTGTATGTTCTATTACCACAGAGGGAAATAATACCGACAAAAAATCTCTAGACTACTTAAAGGACATTCAGTATCACTGACAATGTTTGGACCTGCAATGTAAGTTGCATTGGGATTAATGACTGAAACAGAAAAAAAAATAAACAAAAAGTGAAAGTCCTTATTAGCAGACTGGAAATGAGATACAGTGGAGGGAGAAGCAAAGATAATTATGTAACATAATAGAAACAATTTGAAAAACATTTTTGTTTCGGTGTTGGTAATTGAACTCAGGGCCTCACACATACTAGGCAAGCACTCTACCACTGAACAACATTGCTAGCCTAAGTTTGAACATATTTATGCTCTTATATAAATAAAATAAGATATTGTCACAACATTACTGTCTTCACCATCACAATTTATGCCAGCTTTTTAAATATGTAGAACTGGGAGAATGAGTACATTGACTGAAGTTGAAATGTAATGAAAAAAATGCCAGTGATGAGAAAGTGAAGACTGAAATATTATAACATTAACTGTATGATTGGATTCATCTATAAAAGAAAAAGCAGGAAAAGGATGGTAGTACACATGGATAGAGTGAAAATGTAGAGAATTTCTAAGAATGTGTATTTGATAATAGGATGGAAAGAATTAGCAGAGAAAGAAAATGTGTGAAAGTGATAAAGAGTAATGTAAGTGCAGAAGTAAGGTAAGTTTTCTCATTTTTTGTTAATGTTGTGATATGTGAAAAATACCTTGTGACATTTATAATCTTCAATTCTATTTTCAAAGAGATGTACTGTTATTTTCTAAAGGAGTTTAATTTCTATATTTTATAGATGTTCATCAATTTTATAATAAGTGTATTAACTGTGTGTAATTTTTGTTTTTTTCTTTTCTTTTTTTTGGTACCGGGGATCAAACTCAGGACCTTGCGCTTGTGAGGCAGGTATGGTGCCACTGAGCTAAATCCCCAGCCTATCTGTTTGTAATTTTTAGAATCAAAGGGTTTGGGGTTCAATAATGAGTTAAACTGTATAATGGATGTATCAGTGTTTAAATAAAGTGGGTTACTTTGTGTGACTTAAAAATTGAATAATACATATAATCACAATGCTTTAAGCAATATTATCCTTTTTGCAAAACGTATGTAAACTCCCAAGTAGTTAGCTAGAAAGGACAGCTCATTTAGACCCAGAACTTCACAGGTATTGGCTTAAAATTTATTTATGTGTTGCTTTCATCATTCCTCTTTCAGTGAAGATTATTGATAGTTTTTATTATATATTATGAGCTTTCTTTCCCTCACTTATCTGTGCTTAATAATTTATTTAATATAAAGTTATATTTTTCCTCATTCAGTCACTTTTAAATCTTTATTGAAAAATCTACTGTGCCAAAGGTAGGTTTATTAGGTGAGATTAAAATAGTAAATAGGTTTATTCTTATTTTCAGATTCACTGTTTTCTAAATTTTGTTGTGGAAGAATAAACTTTTATGTAGTTTAAATCTGCTTTTCCCTCTTAGATCAATATGTACATATCCTGTATTTTCTTGCAGTAAAATTGGCTTCATATTAAAAGAATAAGTTTCTAAGTGCTTTCTTAAGTAAATATTACACTTGGTCCATTTCTTTATGTCCTTAGATGAAATGAAGAGAATAATAGCAAATAAGTACAGGTGAAAGAAAGAAAATGCAAGAAGAGAATTTCACCATCTGGAGTTTTTTTTTCCTGGAGGGATTTTCTCGATATCCAAGGTTAGAGATTGTTCTCTTCATCTTCAGCCTTATAATGTATCTGATTACCCTCTTGGGAAACAGCACTCTTATTTTAATCATTATCCTAGATTCACACCTTCAAATGCCCATGTACTTCTTCCTTGGAAACCTCTCTTTCATGGATATGTTACACATCTGCTTCTATTCCTACTTTGTTGGTGAACTTGCTGTCATCCCAGAAAACCATTTTCTTTCCTGGGTGCACTACACAGATGTATCTTTCTCTCACTATGGGCTCCACAGAGTGTGTGCTCCTGGCTGTGATAGCATATGACCATTATGTGGCCATCTGCAACCCACTGAGATATCCCACCATCATGAACAGGCAGGTCTGTGCACAGATGGCTGCTGTTTCCTGGATGACTGGCTGTCTGACTGCCCTGCTGGAAAGCAGTTTTGCCCTGACGATACCCCTCTGTGGGAATCTCATTAATCATTTCACGTGTGAAATTCTTGCAGTGCTAAAGTTAGCTTGCACAAGTTCACTGTCCATGGAAATGATCATGCTGGTGGTTAGTATTCTCCTCCTGCCCATTCCAATGCTCTAAATTTGCATCTCTTATGTTTTCATCCTTTCTACTATTCTGAGAATCAGCTCATCAGAGGGAAGAAACAAGGCCTTTTCCACTTGTGGTGCACACTTGACTGTGGTGATTTTATATTATGGGGCTGCCCTCTCCATGTACCTGAAGCCTTCTTCATCAGGCTCACAAGAAATAGACAAAATCATTTCATTGCTTTATGGAGTGCTTACTCCTATGTTGAACCCCATAATTTACAGTTTAAGAAACAAAGAAGTCAAAGATGCCATGAAAAAACTGCTGGGAAAAATACAATTGTATCAAACACATGAACATCCCTGACTGGAATCCTACAATTTTACCAAGTATGTACCTCTGGTAGGACTTACTAGAGAAATTCCAAACACTATACAACCCCTTAGAGCTCCGGCTTGAACCTTAGCTCTATCATCTTACAATTGTTAGGTACAAAGAAATTGCCCATGAACAATAGCAGGTTCCAATATGTATTTATCAGTATTTGATGTTACATGTGAGAAGTTTTGAGCTATTGAATCATCAAATGTTTGCACCAGGAGGACATTTTGATAAAATTAGAGTCAGTAAATGTTAGCGACAAAAGAAACTTGTATATTCTCTTTGCTTAAATCCTTTTTAGAACGAGGTGGGAACATAAATAGACAAACAAACAAAATGAATAATAAAGATTGGCCTTGATTACGGAAATGAGAAAACAAAAGCAAAGAAAAATTAAAAGATTTGCTCAACATCACACAGCTGCAGAACTGGGATGACACAGTCTTCTGACTTGGCCAGAGTGTATTCTATTACATGGTGGTAACTTCTTAACTACTCTTGTTATTCAGAACTGCTGATTATAACTCATTTTCCCAAGAAGTGCATCCAGTGATACTAGATGTAGTGAAACAAATACTAGATCTGTTTGCCTGCCATTCATGTTTTTCTAAACACTTAGATACGTGTGCAAATGGTATCTGCATCCATGTCACTATACTTCCCATATGCTAAGTGTTTTTCATGCATGTTTGTATATTTTTCTTTTTTGGATGATTGAATTCACAAGGCCTTTTATGTACTTTTTATGTTTATAGCAGTCCTTCAGCAAATAGCTTTACCAGCTTAATTAATAAAACATTTACTTCATTTAATAAACAAGTACCATTGTGCAAATTATGAAGAAGAAACAAAGGTGATAAATATATTGAAAATTAAGATGAACCTAGAGGAATGGTAATAATATTTAAAGCCTAGTAAGTAGGGAACAAGCAAGCACTAAAGAAGAGCAACCCTTGCAGTAGGGAGAGGATAGAAACATGGAGGCAGCTTCCAGCATTGGTCAAGATGAACTAAGAATATTCTACTCGGTCTCTCCCACTAACAGGAATTGAAAACCCTAGGCAGAATGCATGGAGCAGTTGAAGACTCTGAAAAAGAAATGGTAGCAAGCAGACTGAGGAAGGAAAATGGAATTCAAAGTATTACCAAACTGGTGGTGAATTTTCTCTCCACTCTTCCTTCAATATATCTTTACCAGGGGACTCCAGAGTAACAGAAAATGCAAACCTATTAACTGGGTACAATCAGAGGATTTCAAGAGGTTTTTTTTTTTTTGACTTTCAGGAAAGAATATATTTGACCACAAAAAGATATTACATAAGAATAAATAATGTAACAATTTATGTAAGTACCTAACATGAGCATGCTGTTACATCTAAAACAAAAAAAAGTAACATTGGTACCATATATATATATATATATGTATGTATATATATATATACATACATATATATATATTTGACAAGTGTGCATTAAAGAAATCTCTAATATAAAACATTTAAAATGTGGGAATACTTTTTCAAGATATAGGAAATAACTGTTAAGATAGGCACACCCACAAATCTTATAAAAACATGCTTGCAAAGATAAAATTCATCTGACTACTCATTTCTCAGATGTACAAAAGCTATGAAATTATCAATCACTGGACACTGCCTTTTGTTTTCGCACTGTTTTGAGTTTCAACACTGATTGGTATGAATTCTGGCTTATATAATTCCTGCTTTTTTCAGTCTGTTATGCTCCAAGAGAATGCATCTATTTAATATGAATACTTAGAACAGCAACACTATTTGTATCAGAGTCACTTTCTTACTGTTTTTTTTAAAGGCAGTATGTTTAGAAAGTAGTTATTAAAAAATAGTGCTTTGGAAGATCTGAAACTTAAAATCAATATGCTCCATTTATCATAACTAGATCTAAGAACCCTTAACTGGAAAGAACACAAATGTAAAAAGATGATGAATTTAAAGATTACCCAATTGGTTTATTGTAAAATCAATTCAAGAATAACCAGTTAAAATCTTATCCCCATGCTACCCAATACAAACAAGAAGCATTAAAACACGTTTACATTAGGAAAAAGGGCATAAAGCAAGAAAGACCACATTAAGGCTGTGATTCAAACTCAAAAGAAGAAAGGCCTTCAGGTCAGTACAAAGGGTACAAGATCAAAGCACTGTGTCAGGTATACAGTGCTGCTACAACGCTGAGGTATAATTGAGCAAGTTAAAGTGCAGGGGAAATGGAGACTATATATTTTTGTTTTATGGGTGTATTCAAGGGATTGAAATTTTAGGAACAACTGCCTTTAATGACAGCAAGATGCAAGACAAATCTTTACTGAAGAGAAAACAGTTTATAAAGTTTTCTATCAAAGTCCCACTAACTCTGCACAACTCACATCCACCTTCTCACCCTCCTGCTAAGCTAAAGCTACTCTGCTATTTATATACTTATATCTATATTTATATCTAGATATCTAGACATATATATATGATGTGATCTTCATTTGTATCTATCTTACTGGCAAACTGTAGGCACTCCTTCTAAGTAGCTTTTATCTTCTGCACATTAACAACCATCACAACATTCTGCATCATCCATATGCTCCAAGTTGCATTCTAGGTAGAATTTCATTATTGTTCTAAAACTCAATGCACCTACACAGGGGCCAAATCCCCCCAGACTTAATTCAAGATTGAATCTTTTTACTTTTTTTAATATAAATTCTATAGTCAATTATGATGAATGACCAACCTATGAATCATTATATACAATACAATGATTGCATTGTTTTTTAGCACTGAAAGTATTTAAAATTAAGACTTTTTACTTCCACTTTTGCACTCCTCCAAATTGAAGGGTCAAAATACTTAAAGATTTTGTAACTGGGAAAAAAACCCCCCTATCTTCCCAAGCTGAGGCTTTTCATAGAAGCTTTAGCCAGGAAAGAGAATTTGTCTGTTATAAACCCTTGAAAATAAGGGCTTATTTTAGAATGACTGAAAGACCCTTAAATCATAGAGGGGCTAGCTGGTGCCACTAGAATTCACAACCAACCACTACTTCATAGCTTATATTGAAGAGTTAATTCATACTCATTTTGTTCCTTTTAAAAAATATTCTTTGGAAGCCATTATTTCTTCTGTAGACACATACTCTAGTTACATCTCTTCCTGTAAAAATAAAGGTATAATCATGATTATCTCTATATCTTTGCTAAATTCAGCTATCAATATACATTTATTAATCTGATCAGTTTACCTGCTAACTCATGACCTTACAGTATTCTACATACTACCCAGGTCAATTTTCAGCATACTAAAGTAGGAGCAAGTCTTATAAAATCTTATTTCAACCTAGTAGTATTTATTGTGTTCATTATAAATGAGACCTAAGGTACTAGAATTTACTTCCAAAACTGCAGTGAGGATAAACTTCCAAAGTTAATGGAAGGTAAACCACTAAGCTTACTTCTGCCATGTACATTACAAACCTACTCAATAATTTCCCATCAAGACTCAAATTAGTCCGAGGGGGAGATTAAGCCATTTCTTGTTTGCCCCTTTTCAATTCATCAGATAATATTTACCATGTTTCCAGAGGCCACAGAGTACTCCTCTAGGGACTATCCATAGTAATACTCTTTCTAGAATACTAAACTACCTCAAATATCTGTAGATTTCCCCAACAGAATTAAACTATTTGTGAAATATAAACTATTAGCCGTGTATTCTAAATGCATACATTGAAAACTACCATTTAAAAAATAAACTGGAAAATAGGGAAGCCTAAAAAAAGATACATTCTGCCATCACACTATTATAAACACTGTGTGTGTGAATATATAGAAAAAGCAAATAATCAAGATTTAAATAAGTTGGCAAAACCCAGGAAATACAGATTTTACCAAAGAACTACAATAACCTTCCCAAGCTACAATTATAAACAGATTCACTAATATAGTAATTTGCCTAGGTTCTTGGAAAAAAACCCAAAAACCACCACCAACAAAAAACCCAAACAAAAAATAAAACACACACCCACAAAAATAATCCCCCAAATCTAGAGTATGTGGCAATAGTTAATGTATTTCTATCGAAATTGACTCGTGCCTTATAAGCTCCTAAAGTAAAATCAAGGTCACTGTGTGACTAATGATAGTACTAGGGTGAAAAACGCTGAAAGTAAAACAGTCTTCAGCCTTGGTTTCAGCTATCTCTTCAAATCAGCTTTAAGTACTTAATATCAGGTACATCATTTTTGGCTTGTCAGACCAGTAAGACATGTTATGCCACTGGCCAAAGGCAGCTGAAGAAACAACTACTTGAACAAACTAAATGCTGTAACATGAAGCATTTGACTTCCAAGTCTAAATAGTTAAAATGATCAGTGAACATCTAACTGGGCAAAAGGAATGACATCCATCATCCAAACAGGCTCATTTCCCCAGCCCCCACAATGAACAGTAGTTATAGTAGCAAAAGAAACAAAAAAACCTTTTTGTGATTCTTTAGGGCCAACTGTGAAAGAGGGCAGCAATATATTAACAGCAGCAATATATTAACAGCATCAATGAACAAGGAAGAGGAAAATAATGGATGAAAGAATCTTGCTGGACGTTTATCTTTTTTCTAGTATTAGCCAGAAAAATTTAATGGGCTTATTTGGAAATTTCAGGTATACACATCTCATCTCCTTAGATCCTTCACAGATTTAGAATTCAGTCTACCTGAGGGCTCTATAACCACATAAGAAAGCTTTCTTTATCTAGCTTGGTGGCAGCTAAAACAGACTCCATGTCATTAAGGATGCCAGAACTCAAAGCTTCCTGCCGACTGGGCATTAGCTCCTCTCCTTCTATGTTCATTCCATCTCCTTCCAGTGTTCCAAGGTCCACATTTGTCCCAGGAATGGCTTCAAGGTAGTCTGGGAAACGGTTCTGCTCTGAGGGCAGGGTGCTTTGGTTGATGGTATCACCT